GAGCACCGTTTAAGCACCGGCACCGTTTCAAAAGTACCGGTTTGGTACTGGTATCGGATAAAACCTAAACGATATCCATCCCTAGAACTGACTGTAGGCAAACTTTTCCTCACTTTACAGACTGACTGAGCTTTTTTACAACTGAAGTTGTAAAAGAGATGACATGACATCAAACATTCCACAAATGAGGACATAATCCGGTTGAGTGACAGTATAGTTTGTATATGCAGGCATTTCAACATGTAAACAAATAACACCGAGCAGACTTAATGAAGCAGGTTTATTAGAGTAGCATTTTTTAAAACTTAGGTGTTTTAAGGATTTGATACTAACATAAAATACTCGTAGAATAATGAAGCTTCAAAATGTTGCAGACAGATGATATACAGTGCTATTCATTAACTCTGTATATGATGGGTTATTGTGTATATTATATTTTCCTGTAAAAACCAGTAGACCAGTAGACATGTGTTTTGTGGACTTGGAGTAGGCATTCGACAGTGTCCCTCGGAGTGTCCTGTGGGAGGTGCTTCAGGAGTATGGGGTGTCTGGCCCATTGCTACAGGCCATTTGATCCATATACAACCATTGCAAGAGCTTGGTCCGCATAGCCAGCAATAAGTCAGACTCGTTCCCAGCGGGTGGTGGATTCTGCCAGGGCTGCCCTTTGTCACAGATTCTGTTCGTAATTTTTATGGACAGAATTTTTAGGCATAGCCAAGTGGTGGGAGGCTTTCACTTGGGTGGTCTCAGAATTTCATCTCTGCTTTTTGCAGATGATGTGGTTCTGTTGGCTTCATCAGGTGATGGCCTCCAGATCACTCTGGAATGGTTTGCAGCCGAGTGTGAACCTAATAGGGCTTGTCCTTGTCAAATTAAAACAATGATGAACCTTGAGCACCACTTATTAAAAGATTTAAGTGACTGTATATATACAGAGCCTGTATGCATACTAGAGATGGCACGATACCACTTTTTTATGTCCGATATCGATATCATAAATTTGGATATCGGCCGATACCGATATGAATCCGATATAGTGTGTTTTTTAATCAATAAAACAGTTTTTTTAATATCTTGCTCCTTTTTGTATAGGTTCAT